CAAATGCGCAAATATTTTCTGGGCTTTAGCTTGATACCATCTAGAGGTCATTTTGGGCTCAAATTAGGGCCCAATAAAACTAAATGATTTATAATTTTTATAATTTATCAAGATTTAAACAATGAAAAAGGTAGCAATCATTTACAAAAAAAAATATCCACCTATTGTTGTTTGGTTACTTTTTCATTGAAATATGTATAAATTAAGACAAATTAAATAATAAGGGTGATATCTGATTGATTTGAACTTGAGCTTTAAATGTCAAAAGTGTCTGGAGGTCTTAGGTTTAAATCCAATGAGGAATAAAAATCATTTTGTGACCATGTAATACCGAGTATCGTCCACAAGAATCATAGTAAAAGCTTAATAAAAGTAGAATAAAAGAAATTGTTTCAGATGACGATTTTGAAGACTTTGATTGGTTGTAGAGTTGACAATTGCAAATAGCAGAATAAATAAAGGCAACATAGGTGTAAAACTTGTGGTGAGACATAAACACAAATTCCAGCGGACAATGCTGTAGGGATGCTACAACAAGAAGTTGGTCATAACTATTCCACCATCTATTTTGAGGATATTCCTCTCGAGTTTCCACCATTGCAATATATTATAGCTTTTAACCCATATTTCTATGTGGTATCAGGACCAAGGATAGTGCCGAATGGTGTCCTCAAAATATATGGATAAACATATCTCTTTGTTAAAAATCACTCTCTCAAGCTAATTCCCATATCATTTAAGTTGGCGTGTGTTCTTAGTAGTTCATCTCTGAATATACTGCACTTTAATATTTTAACAAGTGACCAACCCGTCGAGAATTAATTAGTTTGAAAAATATAAATGACAAATCTCTTTGTCAACAACTCTCTTAAGTCTACTTCTCATATCATTCAAATTGATGTGTACTCAATGACATATCTCTGAGACCATGACACTTAAAAACTTTTAAAGTGATCAATTTGTCAAGAAGTGTCATTGGTTTTACAAATCTTGAATGAAATAATGGAACGTTGTTATTGCAAAACAAAATCCACTTTCCTTCGGGTTCACTCTTTGTCTCACACCAAAACTAATAAAATTAGCTACTCATTACGGAAAGTAAATTGTGATAAATAAAAGACAGAAAATAAGTACATGAACGTAAATAACATAAATTAAATGACTGAAAGTAAAGTGGGAAAATTAATTGCAATGAATATAAATAAAGTAAAGACAAGAATGTAATGTTGTAGCAAATAAATGTAAAAGACAATATTTAAAGAAACTTGAGAATTAACTTGGAATTTAAATATCAAATCAATTAGAACTGATTGCACACTCACAAAAGACCCAACTTCCCCTGTTTGTACAAAAGGATAGGGGAAAAGACAAAAAAAACGTAAAACTTAGGGCTAAAGATTACAAAAGTCAATGATAAAATACTTTAAGGTACAAAAGTTAATCATGACAAGTACAAAGTAGGTATTAACCCATAAATCGTTCAAGGAAGCTTTTAGATGTGGTCCAAAGCTAAAAGAGTTTATTTTGATGAAATTTAGCAACTGAATACAAGCATTCCTCCAAAAAGTCGTAATTCCATTGGATGCTGCATCATGAAACATCTTGTATTTTGATTAAATTAGCCATCCTTTGATGTAGAAACAAATAAATCACACACTTAGCTCCAGAATATAAAGAGAAAATAGTATAATGAAAATGACCTATGAGAGAATATCTAGCAAAAAACTACAAGAATGAGTGTTTATACATTGAATACTCAATGCATATCAATATGAGAGGTGAATACTTATGGAGTTATTCAGTATGTTCAAGTTGTACATATGAGTTTTGTATACTTGCTGATACTAACCCATTGTTGGAAGGATTGTGAATAGCCAGAGGGCAAACAGAGTTAAGTTTATGGCGATAGGAAACTCTAAAGATTAGGTACTAAGATTGTTGAGTGTTAAGGTGAAACCCAGAGGGGTAGGCATTAAGGTCAATACTAAATCTTTGGAGTGAAATTCTATTGGAGGTCAGTAGGCACTAACACGGAGGTCTTAAGATGTTACTCGATAACATTCGAATATGACCTACTTTGTGTTCCGTCATGTTAAACGGAAGAGTTTGCCCTGTCATCGAAAGATGTGCTTAGCGCTTGGAGTAATGAGATTAATGGTGGTTTGTAAGAGGGGTTCATGTGTTTATAAACATGTTATTTGGTGTTTTTCAGAACGGAGTCTTGGTGTTGCATAACGTGTTCTACAAACAAAAGAAGTCGCTATTCGAAAGGCAATAAGTCCTCATTATTAAGAAGTGGTGGTTTAAAATGTTTGAACTCACTAGACTTTAAGCCAAACACTTTTTCAATTGTAAGATCCCACATGAGTTGGGGGGGAACAAATGTTGTCTTATAAGGGACTGGATAATTCATCTACTAGATGCGTTTTAGAACCGTGAGTCCAGGTATGGACAAAGCGGACAATATATGGTATGATTGTTCGAGATGTTGCAAGTGTAGAAAGAAACCCTAGCACAAAACTAAAGGATCCAATATGCAAAAAAATGAACATTCAAATGCAAAACAAATGAGGTCGCTCTCCAACAGCTTATTCGTTCGACGAGGAAAGTCTCTCCAACAACTTCTCTTGATGCGACTCGACCTCGATAAGCAGCAACAATGAACAACAAACATCATGGACGAAGGAGGATGAGATATAGGGAAACACTTCGATTGTAATGAATTTAGCTAACATCTTTGGGATAACCGAATAGGCTCGTTTCAGTATTTGGCTTAATTACGCCATTTCCAAACAACCTTTAAGTCAGTTATGGCTATTGATACGACCCAATAACATGTTTATCCTTACATATTTTGTAGCCAAATGACACTCACTAACCACTTACATCGATTGATAGGGGTCTCCTCATTATTATTTGGTAACCGTTTTATACTGCTAACACATTAGATCTTGTAACTATTAATAACATATATTAAAAAAATATTTATTAAAAATATCATTAAATTTCTCATTTTGAATGACTATATCCCTGAACTTTTCTTTTTAAATAAATAAACTATCAAACTTTTAAAAATGGCAAAATGCACAAAATATCAATCTACTTTCATAAATTTCTTTATTATAGCATTGTACTTTTAGTTTTTCTTATTACATAAATGTACTTTCAAACTATTTTTTATTAGGACATTGTACTTTAACAAATTTACCCATTATAACATTGGGTAACCTTTTGATTTAAATTTACCTATTATACTAGGTTTCCATGCCACCTCATTGTCCACGTGGGCTGTCCACATGTACCATAGTGATATGACTTTCTTATTACATCATTGTACTTTCAAAATTATTTTATTATAGCATCTACTAGTTCTTATTAAATACTGTATTTTTAATTTTAATATTTAGATATTTTACATGTTATTTAATAAATGTATTAAATGAATTAAAAAAATTCTAAATTATTCATTAATACACCAATATCAATAAAATTAGTAGAACACAACTTATCTCGCTAACATTTTAAAAAAAATATGTGTTTTTTTGAAAAAAGAAAAATAAGAATTGTTCATTTTTTTACCAAAAATATTATCTTTTAAAGAATATATTATATTTGTTCAAAAACTTTTTACTTGACGTATAAATATATTAAATTAATTAGACTTTTTTGAATTATTTATTAATATAACAATGTTAAAAATTGTAGATAACAATTTATTTCGTTAATATTTTAAAGAGAACTTTAAAAGATATGTATTTATTTGAAAAACATAAAATATGAAAAGTTACATTTTTTACAAACAAAATATATCTCGAAAATAATGTTTCATATTTATTTAATAAATATTTTACTTTAAGAATATTTAATTTGAATGGAACTTAATAAGAAAAAGTAAAAAAAAAATTAAATATTTTTTTAGATCATAACAATGAAAAATGAAAATCACTAATAATAAATTTGAAATAGATTTTTATTTTAATTTTAGTTAAATCATCAAAAATGATGTGACATCCACATCACCTCATAAAAGCCACACAAGCAAAAAAGTCAAAGGGTTAACCGGTTTAAAAGATAACAGGCTACCCATTGTTATTATGGGTAGATTTTTTAAAGTAAAATGCCTTAATAAAAAGTAATTTGAAAGTACATTGCTGTAATAAAAAAAAGTAGAATGCTATAATAAGAAATTTTATGAAAGTAGGTTGCTATTTCATGCATTTAACCCTTTAAAAATTGGTTACATACATCATTTTAACCAAGTACCTGAAACTGACTTGAAAGATTTTAAAGGAAACACCCTAGATCAGTTTAACCGTTTCCATACCCTACGATATTCAAAACCCCTCACCACCCCAAGTTGCGTTATCGCTGTCCACTGTCGTTGGTCCCTGCCATCAATTTCCCTCTTCTTTTGTTGTTTTTCGATTCCCCCTACTTTTTGTTATGTCTGTACGCGCTCCGCTAAATTGTTATCAAAATGAGAGAATCAAAAGATAAAAAGAGGGAGATCGATAGCAAGAGCCAAAGGCGACGATGAGCGGTATAGAAAATGGACAACGATGGGGCGACAAGGAGTGACGAGAGGGAGCGATGTCTTTGTGTGCCAACTGTTTAAATGACGCAAGATCTGGAAACGGCAAAACCGATTTAAATATTTTTACCTTAATAACCTTCAGAGTCAATTACATGTTAATTATTTTTGTTAAAAGAATGTAAGTATTCAATCTTCAAAAGTTCAGTTGTATATCTATTGAAAAAATATTCAAAGATTTAGGGACGTTTACTAAAGGTTACCCGGGTACACGTTTACTAAGTCAGATTTAACTTGTCGGATGAATATGACAATAAACAAGAACCTTACCCACTAAAAGCGAATACAAAGACCGATTAGTCTTACCTGGTACGTGAAGACGATGTCTCTTCCCACGGTTAGTGTTTACATAGTAAATTGTTGCATACAATATCATTTTCATGGACCAAAATCTTACCCGATAAATAAATGATAATGCTAAATTTTACCTGTAAATATTTACCCCAACATTCATTTAAAAAGAATTCACGATATTAACCCGAAAAATATAAAAGAAAAATAAAGAGAGAGAAAAATAGAGTTTTGAGCGTTGTAAAAATCTCCCGGGAAGTTCTCAATGAAGGAAGGCCGGTGGAAGGGAAAAAGGATGGCCGATGGTCCACGGGTCCCACTATCTCCGGTTTCCCGGCGTACCTCCTCCACCGCCGATCTCAAACCTCCCATCCCCCTTCCGTTTTCCTTCCATTCTCGTAAATCCCACAACAGAAAACCCTCGATTTTGCTTCTTTTCGCCGATTTAAGAAGAACAAGCCGCCGCCGCCGCCGGAGAAATCATCATCAAAATTTCCAACCATCGACACCAATAGCAAATCAATTATATGATTCCGGTACCGCGCTCCGATGGACCCTTCGACCCTTTTGGCAGTTTGGGTTTGGATCTATCTGACTCCGAGCTCCGTGAAACCGCCTACGAGATTTTCGTCGCGGCTTTTCGAAGCCCCGGCGGCGGTAAGCCGTTGAGTTTTGTTTCTCGTTCGCCGGCGAAAGTACCGGAAAAAGCCCCACCGGGGCCATCGCTTCAGCGGTCATTGACATTTACGACGGTCAGTAAGGTGAAACGGTCATTGGGTATAAATTCTCCGAAGAAGAAAAAGGGTTCCGGTTCTGCTCCGACGAGTCCGTCGTCCAAGGAGAATCGGCCGGCGGCAATTGGTGAAACGATGAGGGTTCAGATGAAGATTTCTGAACAAACTGATTCTAGGGTTAAACTTGCCTTAATGAAAATCGCCGCTGGCCTGGTAATCAATTCCTCCGACTAACTAACTAAACAAAAAAACACAGATAAAATTGAGGAACACCTGGTAACCGTTCATATGGATGCATGTATGCATACAAGTACTTTGTTAGGTATGCAAACATGCACACGTACATAAAAACTAAGAATATGTGCACACGTACATAAAAACCAAGAATATGTGCACACGTACATAAAACCACATTCAACATTATGTACATTCCATGTTAAAAATGGAATTCCTTTTATATAAATTCAACATTATAGCATTCCGAGAGGTAAAATAGACAATTACTCACATTCAAACATTTTTTTTGATTAACCTGGATATTCAACCCGTTATGCGAGCTGACTAAACCCAGGGCAACCACCTGCTTTGCAGATAGCCCGGAGTCACCGCATTTGAACCTCCATGGCCACAAGGGGATTTTTATTCCTCCTTGGATTTGAACCTGAAATCTCTGGGTACTTTTAACCTTTGGAGCCAAGCTCAAACCAATCAAGCACCACCTTGTGGTTTAAACATTTATTCATTTGCAAAAGCAAACAAGTGCTATTGATTCTGATCCCGGATTCAATACCAACTCTTATTGATAAAAACTGAAATAAGACTTCAGAGTTTAGCACCTCTTGTAAAACATATTTTAAGAGCCGACTTTTTGCAGCTTGGCAGGCGAATCGAGTCGATAGTTTTACCCGTAGAACTTTTACAGCAGTTTAAATCCGCTGATTTTCCGACTCAACACGAATACGAAGAGTGGCAAAAACGAAATCTAAAGATCCTCGAGGCCGGATTGTTGCTTCACCCCAAAATCCCTCTCGGCAAAAACAATTCATCTGCTCGACAGCTTTCCGAAATCATACACGAGGCTTATGAATGTCCCATGGTGACAGGAAAACACAGTGAAGAAGTCAAGACTTTACGTGGAGTCGTGAAATCGCTCGCCTCTAGATCATTTGACACCGATGATTCCGATATGTGCCATTGGGCGGATGGGATCCCATTGAATCTTCGGCTATATCAGCTCCTTCTCGAAGCTCTTTTTGAGATCGATGATCCAACGGTTATAGTCGATGAAGTCGACGAGATTTTAGAGTACATAAAGAAGACGTGGGGTATTCTCGGACTCGATGAAAAGATTCATAAGCTTTGTTTCTTGTGGGTTTTGTTCAACCGTTACATTGCTACAGGCCAAGTCGAGAAGGATTTGCTCTTTGCGTGCGGTAACTTGTTGTTGGATATCAAAGAAGATGCCGGTTTTGCGGGTTTCGATTCGAAGTATTCCAAGATCTTGAAGTCGACGTTGATTTTGATTTTAGATTGGGCGGAGAAAGGGCTTTTGGCGTATCGTGAGTTCTTTTATAGAGGCAATATCGATTTGATGCATATCATTCTATCTATTGCGTTATCGGCGGCTGAAATGGTGGCGGAAGAATGCCCGTGTGATCACGGTACATGGAAAACAAATAACGTAGCGAGTGCCAAAGTTGATACTTACATTAGATCATCGATGCGAAAGGCGTTTAATCAGGTAAGTTTTCACGTTTGCGCATTAGTTAGCATTCTTATGCTTTAACGTCTCGTGTAGATGCTTAATTTTTGGTTGATCAGGAAGTGCCTGTTTATTAGCAACTTAATGAGCTTAATGAGACTCACAACTTATTTGGTCAGCCATACATGAATGATTGGTAGTAGTTTAATGATATAGAAAGTGACTTATTCAGTAAGTTTCTAAGGGGGAGATTTATACAGAAAGCCAAAAAAAAATTCCATATCATTAAGCCTCTACCAAACAGTCATGTATAGCTCACTGAATAAGCCATGAGTCCCATTAAGATCATTAAGCTGCTAACAAACACGGCTCAGGACCTGTATTGACATGGTTTATTTTACTCAACTCAGGGAATGGAGAAGCTACGCCTTAGCAGAAGACCGGCAAAACGACCACAAGCTCATTTTAATCAACTTCCCGCTCTTTGCGTGATCGCCCAAGAGATTACCGATCTAGCTTTTACCGAAAAGGAAATATATTGTCCAATACTAGAGAAATGGCATCCGCTTGCTGTCGGTGTGGCGGTGGCAACTCTTCATTCTTGCTTCAGACAAGAAGTGAAAGCATTCATCTCGGGAATCAATGATCTAACCCCGGATGTTATACAAGTGCTCATAATGGCCGATAAGTTGGAAAAATGTTTAGTACAAATGGCGGTAGAAGATTCGTTCAATAGCGAAGATGGTGGGAAGTCGATAATCCAAGAAATGGATCCTTATGAAGCCGAAGCCGTGATTGCTGATTTGGTCAAATCTTGGATACAAACGAGAGTTGATAGACTTACGGAATGGGTTGATAGAAACTTGCGAAAAGAGGTATATTTTCCAATTTCGATCAAAATCACAAAATTGCTACCGTGCAACTTTAGACCATTAGATCATTGGCTTATAAAGTTGATCAATGAACATAAATTGGTCTTACGGGTCTCACGAAAAACCCTTGGTCTCACGTGAACCCAACTCTCTCTCTCTCTCTATATATATATATATATATTGAACAAACATAGAATGCAATCACTCACCTCTTGTTTATAGGTTTGGAGCCCAACGGTAAACCAAGGGCGATTTGCGCCTTCCGTGGTGGAGGTTCTGAGAACTATCGGTGACACGTTGGAAGCGTTCTTTTTACTACCGATACCGATGCATGCAGCATTGCTACCGGATTTGACAAATGGTCTTGATAGATCCCTTCAAGATTACATTTCGAAGGCAAAATCTGGTTTGGGTAAACATTTAATTGCGCTTCGCTACCAAAAACTTGCTATCTTTTGTTCTAATTCTATACCCATATGGTCTTCATGAAACAACTCGTCTATCCTTTGGGGGTAGAGGACAAGTCTGCATACATCTTACCCTCAGAGACCCTGTTCTCGAGCAGTATATATGAAGGGCATGTTTGTTAGCAGCTTAATGAGCTTAATGGGACTCGCAACTATACATGACTGTTTGGTAGTGGCTTCAAGATATAGAAAGTGACTTGTTCAGTAAGCTTCTAAGTGGGAGTTTATGTAGAAAGCCAAGTTTTTCCAAAACCTGTCATACCCAATTAAAAGAACATGTTCATTCCATCTATGAAAAAACTCTCTCGAACAAAAACCTTCTCAATCTATACAGAAAGATTAATGCACACATACATCTTTATCCATACATGACTTAATGGAAAACTAACCAAATAGCTCCTAAGGGTTATTTAGCTTAATGACCTCCTGACAAATGTTCATGATCTTCTGACCAGTTTCTAGGCATTCTTGTGTATGGTAGTGAGGTTCTTCTGTCAAGCAGTGACATTCTAAAACCTGATAGAACGTCATGGATTTTAAAAACCTGTCAGAAGGTCATTTAACCAAAGGACCCGATATAACGAGATCTTTTGGTTTCGTTTGTTCTTAACTATTTCTTTCCTTGTAGGAACTCGAAGCAGTTTTCTTCCAAAAGTGCCCTCTATGACCCGATATAGCGGTGAATCAAAGACCAACGGTGTGTTTGACCAGAGTGACGAGTCCCAAGTTGAAGATCAGAAAAGTTCAAAACAAGGTGATGATTCTTGCGGCATACCTCAGTTATGTGTTCGAATTAATACTTTTCTTTACGTTCGTAAAGAATTAGAAGTTTTAGAGAAAAGGGTGATCGCCCAGTTACGAAGCACCGGACCAACTGAGGGCAGTATTGTAAATGACTATCGAATAAGCTTCAAGCGATCTTTGGCTGCTTGTGTAGACGGGATTCAAGATCTCTGTGAGATAACTGCATATAAGGTCGTTTTTCACGAATTAAATCACGTTTTCTGGGATGGTTTGTATGTGGACGAAGCCTCGGCTTCAAGAATCGAGCCTTTTCTTCAAGAACTGCAGCAGAATCTTGAAAAAATAGCGGAAATTATACAAGAGGATACGGTTAAGACACGGGTGATTACGGACATTATGCGAGCTTCATACGATGGGTTTTTGTTGGTGTTGCTTGCCGGAGGGCCTTCTCGTAATTTCACTCGTGAAGATTCAGCGATCATAAAAGAAGATTTCAATCTTCTTGTCGATCTTTTCTGGTCTCACGGTGACGGATTGCCGACGGATTTGATAAACAAATTTTCGGCCACCGCAGAACGCATACTCCCCCTTTTTTCTACAGACACCGAGAGCCTTATCGAGCAATTCAAATATTTAACCGCTGATAACAACGGTCGTTTGACGGAACCCACGGCTCTGACTTCCGGTCAATGGGACCCAACCGAACCCGATACGATCTTGAGAGTTCTGTGTCATCGTAACGATAAGGCGGCCTCCAAGTTTCTTAAGAACAGACCCTGTTGATTTTGGTAGACGACAAATGGGGTAAAGGGAGAAAGTTCGAATAAAGAACCATAAATATCTTGAGAGCTGTGAAAACCAGTATACGCATGCAGACAGAATTTCAGTCGTGAACATGATTTTTCCATTGCAAAGCGAGGAGCAACCGAGAGCAAGACACGTGTTCTCATTCGTCTGAACAACGAACGTGATCTTTTTACAACATTCGTTATGAATGTTACAGTATTCATAATGAATGTCCTGGACACTTGACGTGCATTCATTGGCCCTCCAGTTCGCAATATATATATATACACACACACACATTGGTGTATATACTCGCTGAAATTCATACAGTGTAGATGTATCATTTATATACAGGTTCTTATGGTTCTCAAAATATTTACGGAACTTCGTGGAAAAGGGTGAGTATATATATATATATATATATATTCTAACTTCAAACACTTGTACATATATTCTCTATTTTTTTTTTGTTGATGTTACCTATTGAACTTGTATTCTATGGTAATAAGTTAGATGCTTATATTACAGTTTATATATATTTTTTATTAACCTGGATATCCAACCCGCTATGCGAGCTGACTAATCCCAAGACCATCTGCTTTGCAGATAGCCCGGAGTCACCGCATTTGAACCTCTGTGGCCACAAAGGGATTTTTATTTCTCCTTGGATTTGAACCTGGGACCTCCCGGTACTTTTGACCTTATGAGTCAAGCTCAAACCAATCAGACATCACCTTGTGGTTAGTTTATATTTTGATTGCATAATACATCTGGTTTCAGTGTAGTATACCTGAATCAATAAGATGATGGTTTGGATCTGGAAGTTGTGGTATGAGAGTTACAGTTTCTTTGGGGATTGTGCAAAAGGGTTTGTAACCGGTAATTCTCTAGCCAGTCTACATTGCTGTCGTCGTAAACGTACGTTTCCGTTAATTGAAGCATTTAGGTTGTTCTTAACAGAACGTAGCCGTCGAAACTTGAATTGAAAGCGACGAAGTTTGGTCATTCAAACGACCTGCTTTTTGGAAACGGCAGTTTCCTGTAGCGGTGTCTACATTTTCTTGACAGTAGGACAGATATGGGACTGACATCATACCAAATTTTCACGAAAAGGGCAAAATGGTCATTATACATTTCAACAATAACTTTAAGTTTACAATGTTTTTGTTGTGAAGGTTCGATGTTTTTTGTACCATTACAATGGTTTGTTGTAAAATTTCAGTATAATTTTGCAGTCTCATATAAACATAAGAACCAACCCAAAAACTCTTAATGCTTCACAATTGATCTAAAACACCCACAAACCTATCATCTGCCCGTTACGATACAAATCCGGCTCGTTATTCCGTTAGCAATTCATATCAATAAACTTTCTATATCTCGTTATCAGCTACATAAAACTAGTAAAATTTCGTATCTACTAGCTTTTACCTGTACAAGATTTTACGTGTAATTTTCACCTCTCACGACTCTTCCAATGTGCCGTTGCCTCTATTTCCAGCATGTGTAGCAATCACGCTTTTAACTTTGACACGGGTCCCATTACCCGACTTGCTCGTCTCCATCCAGACAAACTTATCGCGAACATGCTGCGGGATTCCATTTTCATCCGGAAAGGTAATGTTTGACCTCGCCATGGTCAACGATCCATCTTTGTTACTCTTTCTATAACCATCTTGTCCGTGCAGAAGGGTATTTCTGTCGTTTCCCTCGTTTACGGACCCCGTCTTGAGGTGAAACTCTACTTCCGGGATTTCTTTGGAGTAGCGTGGAATCTCGCCATCTTCACCAGGGTTTGTTACATCTTCCAGAGTTAAACCTGAGTGGTCATTGGGGGTCGACTTTAATAATCCGGCACTCCCTTTTCGCCCTAAGAAACTGGGAATTCCATCGGTGCTGAGCTGGATTCCGGGGGACCCACCATTGCTGTTCGGTTGTCGGATTTGGTACAGTAACCAAAGGCTGAAGGCCACGAATAACACAAATTGAAGCACATTCCTAACCACAAATCCCCTCGGCCGATTGCTTCGTGGAGTTGATTGGTAGTTCATCGTCGTCTGCATAATGACACTTCCAATTATACCTATGGGCAACTAGGTAACTTCATCTTGAAACGATCCAAGATGAAAAACATACACATCCTTTGTACCGTATGAAAATCAAGAAGATAAAAAAGACGTAACGAGAAACTCAAGAGGAAAACACCCCTCTAGTTGTTTCCTGAAGCAACCTCCATTAGGATTCAAGATTTGATGAATGAAAGCGAATCTTGGAAACGAAACAAAGGGTCCAAGATTCGGTGTTCATATCCATTTACTCGAATCTTGGATGCAATTTACTTCTAGATTCATCTTCTTAGAATAAAAAAATCTCCGAAAGTTTATGATAACGGAACGAATTTGTAGTGTACTTCTTCGTTTTAGAAGAGATTGATTCGTGAAAACGAAAACACGAAGATGCGCTCTTCTTGCTGTTTTAGGGTTTAGGGACAAGGAAGAAAACACCACATTCAACAAGAATCTGGTGCAATCTAACAAGATCAACCAATTGCAAACCCAAATCAACAACAATCTGAAAATGACCCATAACATGAACCAAGAAGGATTATGATCCAAACAAATTTAAATCACTAAATACATACAAGTATGTATGTGTGTGTGTGTATGTGTATATATATTGATAGATAGATAGATACACACACAGTTTCTGCTTACTTCATCAAAACGGTTTCTGCTTACTTCATCAAGAATTAGGAATGAATCAAAGCGACCAAATATCTCGAGGTTTCAGTTTCGCCCCAATTTTGCCCTAATTTCTCAAGTAATCAAACATTCAAACTAAAACCCTAGACAGAGTATATACGCATAATACGACGATAAACCCAAAATCAGAACCAAATTAAAGAAAACAAGACGTACCCAGTAAAATTCGAACAAAACTCAACATAACAATCAAAGAATCTCGAAGAAAACCAAACCCTAAAAGCATCAAGAAAGGCGAAAATCGAACAAACTTTACCTTTGGGAATACGAATCGAATATGATCACACGGCGGTTGCTTGAGAAATCAGCGGTTCTAATCCGATTTCAGTACTGGATTCTTGGTGGCGATCATCAAAATCTCGTGGGAAATTTTTGGTCTGATTGATTCTTTCGTTCGGAATTTAAAGAGAAATTGCTTTGAAAATCGAGGATCAAGAAAGTAAATGGTTGAGTAGAGGCGTGTTGGAAAAAATGGTTGAGAAGTCAGCAGTTAGCGGTTGTTGTTGAAATGACGAAAACACCCCTATGTTGACCGTTGGAATTGGGGCCTTGTGGCATAAACGCGGTAGGAAGTAGAGGGTAAGGAGGTAACTATGAAAAAGTATGTGACTGAAGAGTGCCGGCGGTGGTGGCTTAAAAAGAGGGGTCATTAACGTTGACTTTTTGTTTCTTTAATTACATATTTATTATATAGAAATTAATGATTTTCGTTAAGAAATCGATGTTTTCGTTTTTATAGTTTGTAATCTGTTATTATTTTCGTTCTTATGATTTGTAATTTATTGTTGTTTCAGTCCCTATAATTTGTAATTCTTTACTGTTTTGATCTCTGTATATTTATAGGGAAGAATTATTTCAAAGATGAACATAACAATAATTTTTTTTATTAACCTGGATATCCAACCTGTTATGTGAGCTGACTAATTACAGGACGATCATTTGTTTTGCAAATAATAATAAATTGTAAACTATATGAATGTAAATTAAAATTAATAAACTACAGGGATGAAAATCTCAATTATTAACAAATCATAAGGATGAAAATTGTAATTAAACAAAATTAATTTATTGATTTTTCTTTTTGTATTTATTTGATATTTAATTATTAATAATGATCATTTATACACTGTATCAGATATTTATTTCTTATGAAAAAAATGTTTTATTTAGTTAATATCAGGGTACGTGTCAGGGTGCATGTGTAATAATGTTTAGTTGTTAATGATATCAATAAATATCAAATATCATTAGAGATGCTCAAAAGGAAAAATGATCCGATCGGTACTTATTTGGATCAATGATTGAACTGAAAAGATCAGGCCCAATGACTAAATGGCTGTACCGATTAAGCATTGACATCCAAAAATAAGCAAATCGGTCAAAATCCTGATTAAAGACCCCTTTTTGGAGGACCAATTTGCTAATGGAGTATTAAAAATACATAAAAAAAATCGATCCCGATTAGAAGAGTCAAACCTACGTCTGTCTTGTATTTAGATAAAAGACTAGATTTGTCCTTGGAATGACTGGGTTCTTTTACTTGTTAGGGCATGGCACAAACAGATTAGGACTAGTACTTATACAAATAATAGTAATTCGGTGTATCTATATTTTAGAGATTCAATTCGTATTGTCCCAATCTATTACAATGTTCTGCTGAAAATCCGATAAGAATATTGTTTTCCTTTGAAATCTGATGATTTTGTCATCGAAGGAAAAGTTAAGTATGGGTTGGAAAAGGTCGTAAAATAGCTTCTTTGTTCTGATGTGTTTTGTTTTGTGACTAGTCTGAATAGAAGTGTTGACCCTAAATATTTTTGTGAGACTGTTAATGATAAAAACCAGATAAACGCTACGAGTTCAAAAGGAAGACTTCTATCGTAATGGAACATGAGTTTTAACCAATCATTTGCAGGTAGAAAGCTTATAAGGTGTAAATACATATAAAGTATAAGTACACGAGTGAGATTGAGTGATACAAAGCTCGTTTAATCAGTTGCTAGGGGTTATTGAAAGAACTCAAACCCTTGAACTTCATCACTGGAGAGGTCTCCTATCTATACAAATACAAGGCCTTATAAGATAGGCAAGGATCTTAGTTAAACTAAGAGAATATGCATGAGATATTCACAAAATCAAGAGAGATATACATGATGACAAAGATATTTACTATAAATATACATAGATATCCTATTATACCCCTGTAGTCGAAGTGGGAGGAGGGTGAACGTTGAGACTGCCTTGGGAGTCATAAAAAAGAAGATGTGTAAGACCTTTGGTGAAGATGTCAGCGACTTGGTATTGTGAAGGGACATACATAACTCGAACTTGATCACGAGCAACCTTTTCTCGTACAAAATGAATATCCATCTCTATATTTTTCGTATGTTGGTGTTGTATGGGGTTGCCGGAAAGATAGATGGCACTAACATTGTCATAGTAGACCAAGGTAGCTTTTAAGACGGGGGAAATGAAATTCCAGTAAGAGGTTTCTAAGCCAACATGATTCAGAAACAACATTAGCAACCCCTCGATATTCGGCCTCGGTGCTAGATCGAGAGAGCGTAGGTTGCCATTCAGAAAACCAAGAAAGTAGGTTGTCGCCAAGAAAAATGCAATAGCCGCTTGTAGAGCGTTGAGTGTTCAGACATCCACCCCAATCAGGGTCGATGAAAGAAACGAGGCTGGTGATATAGGTTTTGTAAGGATGTAGACCGAACTCGAGTGTACCTTGAAGGTAGTAGAGAATTCGCTTTAGAGGCAACATGTGAGATTCTTTTAGGTCATACATATGAAGATAGACTTGCTGAACTATGTAAGTACTGTTGATTCGAGTGAAGGTAAGATATTGTAAAGCACCAACAAGGCTTTGATAGTGAGTTGGGTCAGTGAAAGGAGCACAAGAATCAGTACCCAACTTGGCCTTGGTCTCCACGGGAGTGGGAACCAGTTTACAAGATGTCATACCTACTTTTTCAATGATCTCGAGAGCATACGTCTGTTGAAATAGAAATAGACCTCCAGAATGGCGTGTAACGACAATAACGAGGAAATAGCTTAAGGGGCCAAGATCCTTCATAGCAAACGCGGTAACAAGAAGATACATCATAGATGTGTGGAGACTCTATGAAGAAGCCGTGATAATGATATCTTTGACATATATAAGTAGGTAAGCCATGCTGTTGCCTTTTTGATAAATGAAAAGAAAGTGATCGCATCGGCTCTGTGTGAAGCCAATCGACATAAGTCGTAAAACGCTCATACCAGACCTGAGGAGCCTATTTTAGTCCATAAAGAGACTTCTTAAGTAGATATACATGGTCCAGATGCTTTTGATCACAAAACCCCAAAAGTTGGTGCATGTAGAGAGTTTCATTTAGTCGACCATGCAAAAATGCATTTTTAACGTCTAATTGATAAATTTGCAAGACTTGGAGAAGGAAATGCTGAGAACGGTATGGATGGCAGCCGACTTTACCACTGGACTAAATGTCGATGCAATCAATTCCAACCTGTTGAGACGTGCTATCACCAACAAGGCTGGATTTGTGTCTCTCAAAAGATCCACCAGTGTTAGTTTTATGACAAAAAAAAACCCACATGGAACAAATAATATTGGCATTAGGGGGTAAAGTACTAGTTCCCATGTCCTATTTTTAGTAAGAGCATCTATCCATCCATCATGGTAGTTTTCCATTCAAGGCCGGACAAAGCATCTTCTGATTACGGGGTAAGCGAGAAGGTTGAAGTGAGACTGATAGATTGAGAGGGCGTTTTGGTTTGGAGATACCATGCATGTTTCGGGTGGTCATTGTTCGAGAAGGGGTTGGATAAAGGATGTTGGTGTGGATTTGATGCATAGGTTGAACAGGTTGTGGTGTAGTGTAGGTTGTGTGTTAGGGGAGCGGATGGGTGATGAAGTATTTGGTGGGGAGGTGGTTGAGATGGGGGAGGTGGTGGTATACTCGATGTTTGTAAACCCGAGTTGAGAGTATAATGGGTGAAGACTATCATGAAAAAAGGAATAAGAATTCGGCTTAGGTGGGGAGTAGATTTAGAAGGTAGGTTGCCATATGTAGTGCATGCTGCCAAAAGGACGGTGGCATAGACGAGTGAGCAAGGAGTGTGCGAATTATATTGTTGATGGCACGAATTTTCCTCTTGTTTTTACCGTTTTGAGATGATATATGAGGACAAGAGAAGCGGAATTCCATACCATTTTGGTGATTAAATTGCTTAAAAGAATCATTATCGTATTCTTTGCCATTGTCACATGGAATTGTTTGATGGAATTGTTAAATTATGTACGAACAAAATTACTGAAGGATGATAAAACAAAATACACTTGAAATTTCCTACCGAGAGGAAATGTCCAAAGAAAATTAGAGTAATCATCAAGAATTAATACATAATAATTGTGACCGACCGAACTTATAACCGATGATGTCCACAAGTCACTATGTAAAATATCGAAAGACATAAAAGTATATGAAGATGAAGCATAAAAAGGTAATTTAATATGTTGGCCAAATACACAAGATTTACAAATCGTAGATGAAATAGGCTTAGAACATGAAATAAAATTATTATTCTTGAAGGAATCTAAAATCAAAACGCCTGGATGCCCTAGGCAAGAATGCCATAAATGTTGAGAGAAAGCAGCAAAGGTAGAAGGAAGGTTGAGAGGGTAAAGATCTCCTTTGCTATCACACCTCATGATTCGTACCCTCGTCCGAAAATCCTTCACAAAATAGCCAAAGGGGTCAAATTCAATAGAACTATTATTGTCAATATTGAAGCGGTGTACGGAGATTAACTTTTTGACAAGATTTGGTGGGTGAAGAACATTATTTAACTTAAATGGGGGTTGGGGAGGAGGGAGATGTGTGTGTCCAAAACCATGAATCGAAATTCTCTATCTAATATATATATATATATATATATATATATATATATATATATAACCATAAAAATGCTATAAACTTGTGAGAACCGGTTAAAAACTATTTTTTCCATGATTTTTTTTTCACTAGGTATTAGAATTTAAGATATTGTTTTACATATATTTGTTTTATAATGTGTTATTTTTACATGCATTTGTTTCATATTGTGAAACATAGATTTTTTTTACCATAAATGTAAACATGTGTGAAACAATAGCTAAAATAACAGTTTTTTATGAAAAAAAGATCAAGTAAAAATATATTTTTATATCGATTCTCTTGAGGTTGTAACGTTTTTGTTGTTCTCATTTGATTATCATCATATATATATATATATATATATATATATATAGGGTCAGATTCATATGTCAACCAAAGTTTTTGTGTTAACTTTGTTAATCAATCTTGGCTATTCAATTTTTTAATAAANGGGAGGGGGGATATGTGTGAGTGTCCAAAACCATGAATCAGAATTGTGTATCCACTGTCGACAACGATATTATTTGAAATGCTCATATTAAAGTAGGAAGGGAGAGTACCTTGAGATGACATCATGTGTGAGGTAGCTCCCGTGTCCATGTACCAGTTCTCATATGGAGGGTTGATAGTCATGGTGTGCAAAGCTTGCTCAATGTTGGTTTAGGCGTATTCGGTAGAAGGAGCGATAGAGGCTGTGTGTGTTGAGGACGGTTTCCAAGAATGTCAGGTGACGGTGATGGTGGTCGTAGGCTCGTAGCCATGGGTTGGTGGAGTACAGACATGGGGGGAAGACAATGGTTGTTGTTGATTCCAGATCTCTCAATTAACAATAAGTTTTAAGTAAAAAGACCCAAATCTAACTTTTGGATGAAGAAAGTTATGAACAACTTGAATAATGTTCAAGAACGTATGAAGCTTTATTCACAAGGAATTTTCTAAAATAACGATGATGAGAAGGTCAACCAAAACTACAAGACACGAGTTCTATTTATACTAGCAATCTAGTCTAAGAGATAACAATCTAATATAAGATATATATGAGATAAACAAAGAAAAGATATTTATTTAAGGGAGATGATGATTATCTCTAACTACCTAGAATAACATAATTATGCTGGCGATGAGTCACGTCCAACTGTCTCTAGGTGGCGTGTCCAATCAGTGTCCTCCATGTGTCGGTTTGTTAGGATTGATCTGATCGAACAATGGTTGAACTTGTGTAATTCTTCAACTGCTGGAAATCAGAGGGGTTATTGGAAAGGCTAAGTTCATCAACCAGATGAACTCTTCAATATTGGATGATCATCAGGTTAAGTGCTTTTGGTATTCACAGCCTCTTTCAATGGTCTTCACTGTGTCTCTGGTTTGTCTTCAACATTTAGAATATTTTAGCTCCTCTTTTGGATCTCCATCGAGTCTCCAGACTTCCATACTTAGTACATTTTTCATTACTTTTACATATGAGAATTATGGGGTCTAACAATCTCCCCCTGAGTAATGAAAAATAAAAATAGTTATCTATGAAAGAAAGACCTTTATGATAGTCAAACTGTTGCCTAGATTACTGTGAAGGTGGAAGAAATCCTTAACGAGTTATTTGAAGTCTACAATGTTGAGTGTGGGGGTGGTGAATCAAAGGTTAGTTATATGTGTAATTTATTTTATTATACATTTTAACATGTTCATGTTTGTTTAAGTTGTTGTTTACTTCTTGTTTTTATCTTTAATATGTATAGCTTACCAAAAATGACTCATTAACGAGCAATGAAACTCATAAGAAGTCATGATTTGAAAATTATATGCAAAAACAACAATTGCAAGTGCCGGAGAAAATGAACGATCTTCAAAGATATTTGGTTGAAGAATCTCTCGATCCAATATGGAAAGTAAATGCTAGTAGGTATGCTATTTTATCTATGATTGCAAAGGATGTTCTTGTCATTCCCGTGTCTGTGGTTGCTTCCAAATCCGCATTTAGTACTAGCAGACGTATTTTGAACTAATTTAGGAGTTCATTGAGTCCAAAAATGCTCGAGGCATTACTGTGCACCCAAAGTTGGTTAAAAGTAAGTCGCGAAAGTATTCAAACAAAGGAGTGTTTGGATGAAACACAATCTTATGATTTCTTGGAAGAAGGTAATCAGTAAAAATTGTTTGGATTATTTTATCCATTTTCAATAAATTGTTAACTTTAGTTTTGAATTGTAGATGACATGACCAACCTCGAGGTTAAGAAAGCTAAAACATCGCGGTTGGAAACGTCTAAAACTATTGTTGTTGATTGATGTATTATCATTTGGTTTAAACATTTTTACTGTAATACCTAACTATTGGATAAACTTGCATATTATCTTAAATGGTCAGTCGTATTTTAAAAGAAGGTTTCCTTTATTTTTATGTGATTTTACATTGTTTAAACACAACCGATCAACCCGAACGGGTTGGGTTGGGTTGAATTTTTATTTGGGTTGAGTCGAAAATTTTCAAACCGTCAACATTGGGTTGAGTTGTTAAAACTTAAAATGCCTCCAAACCAATCAACCAATTACAACAAAATCGGGTTTATAGGACGTTCCCAATTTCTAAGCGTCCTAATAGACATTTTTATAGGACCAAATAAAGTGTCATATATAAAGGCGTTGTAATAAACTTATATGACGTTTTTTATGTCTTAATAAGTTAAGACACTTTTAATATAAATCGTCCAATTAGCAACTTTATAGGACACTATTTGAAAATTTCTCCTATAAAAACAAACGTCCTATAAAAAATTGAGTTTATAGGACATTTTTTAGAGTAATGTGACGCTTTGTAATAAAAATATTCTAAAAAATTTGTTAAAACGTCCAAAAACGTTATATAAACTTATCACAATGTCTCTAAATAGAATACTTTTGTATTTTAATATTATAAATAAAGTCCTATAAAACGGTCTATTAAGACGCTTAAAGATTAGGGGCATCATATAAACCCAATTTTGTTATAATAACCCAACCCATGAGCACCTTTAGATACATGACTTGATAGAAAAATTAGTAAACAACCCATAATATTTTATAAAAAAAACATAAAAGATATGTTGAAAATTTAATTTAAAATATATAAAAGAAATAACTAAATCAAAATTGACATGCCTTAACGTAACTTTCATTATTGGTCTACACCAAATATTTTAATATGTTCCTTCTGGCATCATTAAATAATAGTATTTTTTTTCTTTATTATTTTTATATATGTGTATAGAATCTTAATTATTTTAAATCAATATTATAAAATAATTTAATTGTTTATTTAATTTAATAAATATCTAATTTTATAAATTTTCAGATTGTTTCATAATCTAAAACACTGATCATAATATTTAAATCTGATCACCTTTCCTAGATCAGTAACTCGATAATAATAAATAAAATCCTCATCATCTTTCATAAATATTTCAGTTATTTTATAATATAAATGTTTATCATGTTTAGTAGGAATTAGAAGGTTTGTATTTTTGACAGTAATGAGACTCCAACACGTGCGTTTTGTATAAAGGCAGAAGCATTTACCATCTTCGCTGTTAAAATTTTGCACTAACATATCAGTTTCAAAAACTATATGGTGGAACCCAACATAACAATACGATGACACCCTTCAGAAACGTAATTTTTTTTCTTATGACGGAACCATGAAGCCATGGTGGACTTAATTTAAAAACCGTATTTTAAATTAACATTTTTTTATTAACCTGGATATCCAACCCGCTATGCAAGCCGACTAATTTCAGTGCGACCACCTGCTTTGTAGATATCCCGGAGTTACCGCATTTGAACCTCCGTGACCACAAGGGGATTTTTATTCATCCTTGGATTTGAACTTGAGATCTCCTGTTACTTTTTAACATTTATTTTATATTACGATAGTTAACTGGTATTAGGGGTGCTAAAAAACCCGACCAACCCGACCAACCCAACCCAACCCAATGCGAAATAACCCAACCTGAGGTAACTCGATGTCTAATCGAATTGTAAAATTTTCAAACCGTAGGTATTGAGTTGATATTGGGTTACTATTATTTGAACCTAATCCAACCCGATGAACCCGATATCCTTTTATTTCTTGGATTTAATATGATTGTTGAATTTATATTAATATATACATTAGACAATTACACTATCATGTATGCTTTTCTTATATACATATTTTCAATCTATTTATATATCTATATAACTCATTCATATATATGTTCAATAACTGTGAACATATATGTGTAAATTGAGAAAATTAACTGAATATGGTATACGTAAGAAATATGGATAAGTTGTATCAAATGGTTGATGATGAAAAAAAAATTATGAGTAGAGAAAATAACATATTCAAGGTTAGAAGAATATTTTAATATACCAAAGTATCAACCCGACCAACCTGTACGGGTTGAATTGGGTTAAGATTTTTCCAAACTACAAACATTAGATTGAATTGTTCAAATGTGTTCAACCCAACCCATAAACACCCTAACCGGTATAATCACTTCAAAAATTCCCTAGATCCAAGTGTTCGAGAAGGTTGACCCTCTATTAATGCGTGTGTGTGTGTATATATATATATATATATATATATAAATATATAATATTATTTAATGATGTCATGTGGGTAAGCAAAAAACATATAAAATACATATACAAACTCATATGTGTGTGTATATTTCAACTTTCTTTTTCATTCTCGATACAATCTCTCTTTTATCACGCCCAATTCCAAATCTCAAACGTACCATGGATGATTGCTTTGATCTTGACCTATCGTTGACAATGGAAGATCACCACCCCACCACCACCTCCGCCTCCGCCACAACTACGTCTACCAAAACCACAGAACTGCCGTCACCGGAGGAAGCTCAAAACCACGTTTTCGCCATGCCGACTGTCGTGGTCACATCGGGTGTTTGCACCGTGTGCATGGAAGGTTTCGACTCATCGTCGTGTACCAGTGGTAAGCAAGCTCCTTGTGGCCATATCTACCATTTTGATTGTATTACAAAATGGCTTTCCCTTCACAATTCTTGCCCTCTTTGCCGGAGTAAAGTTTCCGGCCACCGGACAAGTTTTCCGGCGGAGGTTTTGTAGGGTTTGATGAGGTGACCTATGTGACACATTGTGTTTATCTAAAATAATATCATAAAACTTTGTTGTTGTTGTTTAGATGTAATTTTTGGCATGTTATTTTGGACGTTTATGGAAATTTTTGATCCATTTGTAATATGGGGATTAATTGGTGTAAACACTAATGTTGAATCTAGCAAGTCACGCACGCTTAGGGATGGCAAAAAAACCCGAAACCGATGGTGAAAACCGAAAACTGGAACTTTCGGGCCGAGTTTAGGATATCTTATCGGGGATGAGCCGCTGATCGGGGACAAATTCAGGGATTTTAACGGGGACGGGTACGGGGGCGGGTACGGGAGCGGGGATGGTGATCACCGGCCCGGCCCGGCCCGATATATATATATATATTTTAATTTATACATATATATATATATATATAATATCATTAAAAGAAAATAGTAACATTAAAATTTAAAAGACTTTTATCCACTTACCTAAACAACCCAAATAAAGCTCATGAAAAAGTCTAGTTTATTTTTCTAAAATCGTGATTTTAGTTGTATGATGTTTGAATTTTTGTTTAGTTCTATATTATAATCTAATATATTGTTTATAATTGGTTTGATTATGTTTGAGACATTTAAACTTACACCTTTAAAAAAATTGTAATTTACTTTTAATTGTGAAAATTAGCATATTGCAATTTTTGCCAGATCGGTTTTGGGTTCGGGTTTGGTTATAACCAACGGTGAAAAAGAGAATTTTTGCCAGATCGTCATATTTGATTAAGACTTGAACTTTTGACTTTTAGTGAGGTAGGGTTCTACCGGTGAATCTGGATACTACTGGACTAATGCCCCCTTTGACGATTTTGAAGGTTTTTTTTTCTGCTTTAACGTAATATCAGATATTTAGTAAGGTAGGGTTTTTAAGGTCTGGAGTTTTAATTCTTCCAATATTTTGGAAAATATATTAAGATTCTTTATGATCAGTCAATCGTAATTTATATTACAGTTGATTCATGTCATTTGCTAACTGACTTTTCAATCAAATGTAATGATTAAATGTCGTGAATTTTACATATATGCCGATGTTACCAATTGTACAAATCGTCCTAGGATCTATTTATATGATTTGTAAAAATACGTATTCAGAATAAAAATTCGACGTTTCTCTTGTTTTATACTGAAATAACTTATGAACGCGTATAATATAATGTTGACTAGTCGATAAAAGATAGATAAAGACATAAAGTACAATATGACCAATTGGGTGTGCTTATTAGAGGTGATCATTTGCGGGTCTGGACTGGGTCTGGGTTGGGCCTAACTTGTTTTTTTTGTCCAACGGACCTAATACTGTAAACTCAACCTTTTTTTCAAGTTGACAACTTGCTATTGCCCACCCTATAAACAGATCGGGCTTGCCTATGGGTTAACGGACCTAAAAAGTGTAACTCTTATAAATCTATAAACTTGATCAATAATAATTAATTAACAAATGTGGAACCAAAAAGTAAAGGAAAAACATTATTGCAATTAAAAATTTAAGCAAATAAAGTGACACATGGATCTCAACAAGTGGAGAAAGAAATGAAAAACAAAACTCAGACTTCCATAAAATCAATAATGCATTCCTATTTTTTATGTATAACATTAATATTCATAATTTCATGGCTCCATCATGCTACTGTCAATTTCAAACATCCCAAGTTTTGATCAAGAATCTCTATAATTCTGTAGCTAACGTATAACTTTAATAATTTAATTTTAAAATATACTAGTATAATTTTAATTAATAGTAAAAAATATTAATTACAAAATATAAACAGGCTGGACGGACCTGCCCATATTTATTTTTACATTGTCCATGTCCGCCCATTAATTTTAACGAACAAATTCGGGCCCGTCCATTTTCTCTATAATGGTTGTCCAAGCTCGTATTTCTAGCGGACCGGATGAGCCGGGTCTAACGGGTCGTCCCGCCCATGAACAACTCTAGTGCTTATGTCTTGTTTGATGACATTTACGTTTTTATTTTTCCGCAATTTCTTGTAAAAATTCTTTATCCAATTTAGTTTGTTTTAGCTAGGTCCGTAATATTGTCGACCTGAATATTACGAAAGTAATGACATTTGAGTCAATCCAGAAGAGAAATGATTAAAAACCGAATTTGGATACGTGAAATGGTCATTTGAGTCGATGACCCTGATTATTATCAAACTATCAGATACTACACTTTTTATATCAATAGTTTTAAACAATTTATGAATACAATTTACACCTTTTTTTCAGTTATCTTGCTTATCAGATATTTTTTTGACTTGTTCGTCCTCTTCTGATATAGCAAATTGCAATGAACAACAATTTATGGGTTTTTATTTTATTTTAATTGTGAGTGTCTAAAACAACTTGCAAACGTCTTTGATTAACTCTATGGAGAGATAACAGTATGAAAAATCCTTAGTTGTCCTAAAACGAAAAAAAACCTTCTGTCCTAAATTTTCACATCTCATTTATGTCCATCAGTTACATGAATACACATCATCAAATAGAGAATGTGAATTTAAATAAAATAGGTCTAAAATATTAAAAAAAAACCCGACATGTCTCAATTTCATTGGCTGAACAGGAAAGAAACGCATGATCCTAGAATAACATATTTTTATTCCCTCAAAACGACTTGAACTGATCACCTATGGCAAAAGCCTCGACACCAAGCATTTATTCATGGGAAATTACTCAAAAGTAATTATTTTATACACTGTACGTTAATAAAATAACCACTTTTCAAAGTTTTTCACAAAATGACTACCAAGATCGCCTCTGGAGGACGGTTTTGACTATTTTGGGGCAATTTTGATTATAAAGTATGGATGGGTCTCACATGTATATCATTTGGAGACAAAAATCAGATATTATATCTGAAAATGGGCATATCGCCCTCAAAAAGTGAAAATTGCCCCCAGTTCATCTTCTAGTAAAGACAACTTATGATGCAACGATTTGACACATCAATGATGATTTGACGAGACATCGGGAGCGATTTTCATTGGTATTATGTCTTTTTTATGACCAAATATAATATATACAAATCTTGTATTATTCTTTATTAAATTGTAGCGATCCAAACATTTCTACTTTCACAACCTCTAACCCGCCACTTTGAATATACATGGAACCATTATCATTTTAACGTGATTTTATATTTGTGTTAAAATGGTAGATAACGTTTAAGGGTTGTGAGAGTAGAAATGTCTAGATCGCTACAATTTTATAAAGAATACTACAAGATTTTTATATATATATATATACACACACACACACACACACACACTATATTTGGTCCTAGAAAAGACAAAATACCAATGAAAATCGTCCGCAATCTCTTGACAAATCGTCGTTGATGTATCAAATCGGTGCGTTATAAGTTGTTTTCACTAGAATACGAAATATAGGTCAAAATCATGGGACGATCTTCACTTTTTAAGGGCGATTTGCCCATTATCAAACATAATATCTGATTTTTGTCCCCCAAATAACATACATATGAAATCCGTTCATACCTTATAGTCAAAATCACCCCAAAGTAATAAAAACTCCCTCCATAATTATTTGTGAAAAATCTCTGAAATGTTAACATTTTATTAACATACCATTACCTCTACTTATCAATCCAAGTGGACCACAATGTTTCTTCACTTTATTTAGGATTTGACCATTCAACTTTAGAAATGGTAATGAGAGTCCCTTTACTTTTCATAATAGATTTTTTTTTTGGAAAATCTACCAAAATAGCTGCTATTTTTATCAAGCCCAATTTTTAATCATTTTTTAGTCACTCTTCATGTTTTGGGGCTATTTACTTGCGACTTAATTAGGCATATTGGTCTGTCTGGCTTATTCGCACAGCTCATTTGGGTTGTTTACTTACGACTTTTTTGCACAGAACATGGCTTAATCGTATAGATAGAAATGATATGTTGTGCCTATTCAACCACAAAAATGACACCCCTACCCCTTATTTAAAGCATCGCCTACTTCCCATATGAGACACCCCATCTTCAGCCTCTTTATGATTTGTTGTTTTGATGTTCAAATAATTAATATTGGGGGGTAAATCGGTCATTTATATTATTCAGACTGTTGGTTCAGATAAACAAAGTAAACAACAACACTCATTTATCCAAACAGACAAATTTATCCATGCAGGACTTAATAAATTTTTTTGGTAAACAACCCCTTGTATATATTTGCATAAAACTGATTAACATATTAAAAAAAGACTCTTTACATAGATTTACATAAATATCCACATATACGTAAAAGATTTACGTAAGGATCCTCATTTACGTATAAAAATTAAGGAGTGTTTGGTTAGAGGTATTAAGCAGTCATTAATGAGATTGAATATAAAAGAAAATGTTTAGTTTTATATAATATGACCCATTCTCATACATGTCCAAATTTTCATTCCAGATTAAACTGTGAGAATAAAAATTCATTCTCATTTTCATTCTTATTTTTCATTTTCCTGCCTAAACCATACAACCCTTAAATTCAGATAATTTTATAGCAGTTTTACATATGAAAAGGTTATGGATTTAATTAGTTTTCGAAAGTTTCACAATTTTTATTATAATTTTTCAAAATTGAATTATTTTTTAGGATAATAGCCAAAACTAATTTCATTTTAATAATAATTAAAACTAAAAATTGGTTGATATTTATAACGATTGAAAAATGACTTACCTACCCTTATGCTAAAAGCCATGCCATATGAGTCACCAACAACATGAAAAATGTATTGAAAATAATAATATTTTATTAAAATATTATAATGGAAATGATTTATTAAGGAGGTGTTTATAAATGTTTTTTTTTAAAGTCTTTATCAACTTATTATGAGTTAGAATAATTTAGCTTCTTCAGAAACTTTTTATTACCAGTTTGACACCGATATAAACTGTTTATCCAAACATTCAAAAATGCTTATTACCGGTGTCACATCGGAATAAGTCAATAAGTTGTTTTTGTAAACAATCGCAAACACCCCCTAAATATGACATTCATATTTAACAGTTAAACCGAAAATCGGTCTTTCTAAATCTAGAATCGAAAATAGAATCAAATATAGTAGCCCTTACATTTCATGGAAG